GTCCAATGTTCATATTTTCTTGCAAAATCTAATCGAGCCTTTTTATTTTTTGTACTAATTAATGGTTTTTTAACACCAGCTCATCCTATAAGTCCCACTTCCTTCAGACGTTGAGATACTGTACTCCGACTAACATCAGCAAGATTTTCTTCTCGTAGTTCTTGAGAAATATCCATAGCAGTTTTTCTAATATCTGCTATCGACTTTCTTTTCATCATTTTATCGACGCGCTTTGTAGTTTTACGAGGTCTACCGCTTCGTGATTTATCAGCTAGAGAGTTCGTCAACTTATATTTAGTAATAATTCTATTCACTGTACTTTTATCTATCAATAAGGAATTAGCAATTTCGCGAGAAACCTTTCCTTGTTGAGAAAGATTAATTACGACTTCGCGTAACTGAAGGTTTGTGTTTCGGCATCACGGTAGGCAATAGACTGAAATATAGGTAAAGCAAATGTAGTATGTTTATGTTTCTTATAAACCGCACTTGTAAGATCGCAACAAGAATGTGGCTCAATACTTTTGAACACAAATCAATATTATTTGAATAAATAAATAGACAATATGTAATTTAAAAATATTATAATGTTACATATTAATGTTAAATTTTAATTATGTATAATAAAATTATATATTTTATACATATAGTCATTATTTTATATTTTATTTTATTTATTTTATTTGTTACTTATTATATATACACTGCAATTATTTATTATTTTTTTTGGGTGGAGTTCCGATTAGCGGAACCCTCCGATTTTTTTGAAACTCCACTATTTTATGTAGTTTGGCGCGCTGATTACAAATATGATAATGAAAATCGCCGACTAGGTCATTTTCAAGGTCAAAACAAGGTCAGAAAAAGTGAAAAGATATCACTTTTTTGAGATTATTTCGAGAAATATTGATGTAACAAAAAAATATTTCAAAGAAAAGTTGTAGTTTTTGTAAAAATACATTATTTATGTTTTATGCATTTTTTGTGTAAAACTGATAATTTTCGAGAAAATTGACGTTAAAGATTAAAAACTTTGTAACGGTGCTGCCCGCAAGCTGCATCGTTACGGCTACGGACCGACCATCGTCCGTAGCCCACCAAGGGCGCATCGAGTGCCGATAAACTTCTTATCATAACAACGGCGGTCAATCGCCAAAAAACCCCCCACACCCGACCGTTCCGAATTTCCGTTTTGTGGGGGGCTCGCCGCCGAAACCGCCGATGCTTGCCGATTCGAAGCCAGTCGGCTGCCAGCCGGGTATAAAAGAGGCCCGGCTGTACGTCTTCTCATCAGATCCTGTTCGCTGCTAGACAGCGAACAATCCTGCTGCGAGCGTTCTCGTAGTCCGCCGAGAGTACTCGGATTCTATGCCTTATTTCAGGTACACGAGCGTCCTCGATACCGTTTCTATCTCCGATACGAGCGTTCTCGTATACCCGTCGAGCGTACTCGGCTCCTCCGGGCATCGATCTTCGTATACAGGGCATTCCCTTATACTTAGTCGAGTCGCCGCTCTAAATCCGCCTTCGTATGAGCGTTCTCGTACGTCCGCCGACCAGATTCGGCCTCAAAGCCTCTAGTGCGAGCGTCCTCGTACTCCCGTCGAGCGTACTCGACGACCTGTTCCTAATCTCGCGTTACCGCGCACCGGGATTCATCCGCAGAATTTATCCGGCGGGCAAACTACGTCGACCAATCCGCGCCGTCGAGCAACCCGTCACGATCTACGATCGAACGGACTCGCGGTACCGTCACGAACGTACTCACCGACGAGCGTTGCGTTGTACCAACCGCCACGACACGATCATCCGCGCTTGCGCTCTCGCTGCTCGCACCAAGACGCCTCACATCGAACTTTAATAATTCAGTCACCGTTGCTTTAAATAATTATTTCGCCGTTTGCCTAAATAATTATTTCACCGTCGCCTTCATATTTATTTCACCGTCGTTTTTGTATTTATTTCACGTCGCTTTAAATAATTATTTCACCGTTCGCCTAAATAATTGTCTCACCGTTGCCGATACTTCGGATTTATTTCACGCTGCTTTGTATTTATTTCACGCCGCTTTAATAACTATTTCGCTATTGCTTAATAATTGTTTCACCGTCGCTTATATTAATCTCACCGATACTTTTACGATTATTCCACGCCACTTTAACTAATTATTTCACCGTTGTTATTATATCGATCGCACCGATACTTTTCTATTTTACGCTACTTGTATATTCTTTCGAATTCGCTTCGCACACGCTTCGCATGTACACACGAACATTGAAGCAGATCATTTGAAGCAAGTCATTTCAACATCTTAATTAATAAACGTTGTGTTTCTTTACTTTGTTATAAACGAGCATTTATTTTATTGACATACCCCCAACCGACCGAACCTGGATTCCGGCGAGCTACTCCGCGTCCGCCGAAGCTCACACGGTTTCAA